TGTGAGAGACACAAGGCACATGTAACAACATATTAACTGGCTGACTGCAGGGATTATATGCGAGCATTCATTCCATTATTCTGTGAACTCTTTTGTTATATTTGACAACTTTCAAAAAAAAATCTGGGAAAAGAAAAAAACTACAGATATAATTATTCTAATTTTGTATGCAATGGGGAAGGAGTGTAGCAAAAACTGACATATAAAAAGACTGGAAGAAAAGAAACCCCAATTTTTTTTTTTAAGGCAAGTCATGCTCTGTTGCCCAGGCTGGAGTGCAGTGATGCAATCTCCACTCACAGCAACCTCCACCTCCCAGGTCCAAGTGATTCCCGTGCCTCTGCCTCCTGAGTAGCTGGGATTACAGGTGTGCACCGCCACACCAGGCTAATTTTGGTAGAGGCGGGGCTTCACCATATTGGCCAGGCTGGTCTCGAACTGCTGACCTCAGGTGATCTGCCCGCCTTGGTCTCCCAAAGTGCTGGGATTACAGGTGTGAGCTACCACTCCTGGCCTAAACTCAAATATTAATAGTGCTTTTCCAGCACAGTGGGATTATAGGTGATCTATTTTCCTAATTTTCATGTCTAAAAATGCTCTGTAATGGGGATATCTTACTTTTATAATAAGAAGCAATTTAAACATGTTCTTTAAAAAGCTGAAATAAATGTGCTTTAACAGAATCACATAAGCAGAAGCAGGGCTCTTCCCTGACAGCCCACCAGACACTCCCAGGGTGGAAGGGTGTGCTAAAGTCAAAGTCTGCTCTTGAGTTCATGTTCTGTCAGAACACCTTGCAATTAGGAGGCTGGGCCTAATGACGTACTTGGTGCTGGGTCTTATTCTCCATCTGCCCCAGCTTCATATTCATTTTGTCCTGAACCGATCCCAGCTCTGCTTTTATCTCCTCCACAGTAGCCTCCAACTGATTCTCCAGCTTGTTGATAAGAGGTTCACATCGACAACCATTTATTGGTGCCTAAGAAGAAAGAAAAAAGGAATCAATCCCTTGTTCATTCCCTCAAGTATGTTTTGAGCACCCACAATGTGCCAGGCAGTATACCAGGGGATAGAGATGATGGAAGAGACAGGCTCTTCCTTGTCATAACTTTGGAGCATCCTATAGGCCAAGCCTTGAGGGCAGTAATCACTAAGAAGATTCAGAGGGTAAGATTTGGCCCCTCCTCAAGCTGCTTTTATACACCCTGGGGCCTCAAGATACCTAGTCACCTGAGGATGGTGCAGCAAGCTTTGCAGCTACACCTCTGTGTGCCTTGGCTTGGCAGCAGGAGTGATCTGTCCTGTGCAAGTATGGAGGCCATCTGGCTTATTTTAAAAGCTCATGCTTAACTAAGTCGACGCCTAAAGTAGCTATCAGCCCCCAGGAATGCTGTTAAACAAAAACCCTTGCTGAACGCCTAAGTTTCCTTTTCCTGACAGTGCTTAGCAGGTACCTGCATCACTTTCCCGTCCTTGCCCCTGTACAATGTGTACAGCTGGTATGCCCTGAACTCATGGGGTGGGGGCGGGGATGAACACCGATGTCTGTTCCTCTTTTTAGGGTGATTATGAGTATGCAGGTTCTTCTGATGTCCAGGCTGTTGGTCAGCTGGTGGGGTGGGATCAGAAAATGCTGACACCTGTGGGAGAGGAAAAGACACCTCTGAGCCCTCTGACCTCTGCAAGACTGATACCAGTCAGTGGCGCCCATGTCACCCCGTTTGGGTAAGGAGCCCTTTGTTTCCCCTCACAGTGTTCTACTCCAAGCTACACATGTCAAAAGAAATACATCAGCACATTAACTTTGTGTCTGATGCTTGCCAGATTTAATTTCTGTGCTCTGGCTCCAAAACAGCCAGCCAAGTGAGGCGGCTTTTTAGCTGATGGGCATGACACTCTGCCAGGACTCTCGCCTCCCAGCCACCCTCTGGGCTGCTTTCCGTGCCTCCTGACCTTGGGCCTCGACTTTTTCCTCTTGTCATCCTTTGCTCTGGGTTCTGGGGAGGCTGACAGGAACTCTTCTTTGCCTTCTTCTTTTCTGGGCACAGCTTGTTCACTGCTGGGGGTGTCTCCTGCTGAGACACTGCCCTAAAGAAGAAAAAAGCCCGGAGACCTATTCTGTTTGCTCCCTTGGCCTTTTTCACTAATAGGGTCAAATTTTCTTTGCAAGATTCCATCTATTAAGAGACCCAAGGGAAAGTCTGCAAATGAGATAAATTTCAGACATAGGAAACACTGCTTGGTGATCTTAACTAACATAGAATGTTTTTCCTGGTTGGTTGAACATTTGGCTTTCATTGTATTTACTAGGTCCTAAACTAAAGATATTCCTGGGTCTAATTTGATGTTGTAGAACACCAGGAACCTACCCGACACAAAACACGTCAGCATTAGAGACTTTCAGTCTTTTGCATTTCAACAAAACATAACTCACTCATTCTTTGACCTTGGACACCACCCCCTGCCAACAAAATTCATGCCAAAGAGTAATAATCCTTTGAAATGAAAAAATATCATATTTCTGGTCCTTGTGAGAACGTTCACAACTGAATATGTACAATTCACACCTAGGAAGTTAATCAGAGTTGCAATGGCTTAACACTGGAAATCAATGAGAGGATTCTGAAATAGCAGATAGAGGAACAAGTACTTGGTGATAACATTTTCTGTGCCAAAAGCTGTCTCTATATCCCAGACTTCTTCCTCCTGAGTGAACACAAAGGCAGGGTTTACACAGCACAAGGGCACCTAGCTGAGGCGGAGGTGTGGGGCAAGAGGAGCTGAAATCAGCTCGGGCTCTGCTCACCATGTGTGCCCTGTACACGGCGGGTCTGCCCAGGGGGCATCTTTTTCTAATTCCTATAAGGGAGCCATATAGGCTGGCATAGCCTTGGTCCCCTGCCTGAAGCGACTATGCCAGTGGCTCTCAAATTTTAGTCCACATGAGAGTCCACTGGAGGGCTTGTTTCAACATAGATTGCTGGACCCCACCCACCCAAGTTTCTGATCCTAGGGGTCTGAGGTGAGGTCCAAGAATTAGCATATCTAACAAGGTCCCAGGTGACACACTGGACACCACATTTTGACAGCCACTGCCCTACACAATCTGGGCACAGTGTCAGAGAGGCAGTGCTGCCCACAGGGCTGGGGTAAAGGCCACAGATACCTGAGCTGGTAAACATGCCGCCGACGCCTACCGGATGGGTAACAGGCAGTGCACACAGAGGCACATGGCCTGAAGCCTTGGGGAATGGAGGATGTGAAGCCAAAAAGAAAAATACTGGCAACGGTTTGAAGAGCCCCTGCAAGAAGGAGAGGCAGAGAAGGGCCTGGCAGCCAGCAGGTGAGCCCGGCTGAAGCAGGGAGATAGTTTCGCACCCTCTGCGCATGGGTGGACGTGGGGACGGCGGGAGGACTGCCCCCCACCTTGCTTTGGGCCACCTCATCTCTTGGCACAGACTGGGCTCTCCTCTCTTCCTTGAGCCTCTCTCTCTTTTTCCTCAGGCTTCGCCCGCGACTGAAGCGCAAGACCTGAAGGAGGCAAACGGCATTGTTACAACCACTGGTGTGCACAGCATCCACGTGAGAGAATTCTCCCTGGACCTGGGGCTCTGACCTAATGGAACTGACAGCCTAGAGGGTGAGAGCAGGTGTTCACATCAAACAAGCACCTCCGGACTACCTAGCATCATCCTAGGGCTTGTCCTGGGCACCACAGGGACTTGGAGATGGGTAGGCTATTATCCCTGACCTCAAGAAGCTTAAAGTCTATCATGATAATAACTACAGGCACTGATGCTGGGCCAGGACTGCCAACTACATGCACAGAGGCTGTGCTCCAAGGAGTGCCATTCACATAAACTAGGATATAGGGTGTTCCCTGGAGGTGTGCGACACAGCAGCCCCGTGCCAGGCAGTCTCACTCTCCATCTTGGTACACTGGACCTGAGCTAGCCTAGCAGATGTTCCCTTGGCCAAACTGTGTCCAAGTCACATCAATTTGATTCAAATATTAAGGTGTATCTACGAGCCACAGTACCAACCACAAGACAGAAATCTCTTCCCCAAAAGGAAGCGTTTACTTTGCCTCTTACAGTGCAGAGTGACAGAATGGACACAGAGGAACATATGTGGGGTCAGAACAATCTCAGTTTGAACCCAGTAGCCACTGGCTGTAGGGTCTTTGGGCAAGTGATTTGAGATCTCTGTGCTCTGTCTTCTCAAATGTAAAAATGGGTCAGGCGCAGTGGCTCATGCCTATAATCCCAACACTATGGGAGAACACAGTGGGAGGACTGCTTGAGGACAGGAGTTTAAGATCAGCCTGACCAACATAGCAAGACCTTGTCTTTTTAAAAAAGAAATAAAAATAGGGAGTTGTTGGGATTAACCAAGAAAAAATAGGTGGCTGGCATGCAGTGACTGTCAGGGGCCTCCCTACCTGCCTTCAGGTGGCTTAATTGGCAGAGGGTGTTTAACAGAGTACAGATCCTTGAGCTGATGGAAACCTTCAAACTCTAGTCCATAATAGTTAAAAATGAAAAAGAGTCCTTAGATCAGAAAGTCTGAGAAACACTTCCCTGAGTCATTTCTAAAGCTAAATTCAGACTCATCAGGAAGGCAAGTATGACGAAAGAAAGTGACTATATCCATCGCTCACCTGATTTATGGACTTTTTTTTTTTTTTTTAAGAGACAGAGTTTCACCATGTTGCCCAGGGTGGCCATGAACTCCTGAGCTTGGGTAAGCCGCCCGCCTCTGCCTTCCAAAGTGCTGGGATTATAGGCGTGAGCCACCACACCTGGCCTATGGACTCTTAATATCCCCAGAATCAGCCTAAAATTTACTTTCAGAGCATTTGTGAACCACACCAATCAAAATGACAAGTGACAATCAGAGGTCACCCAAACCCAAAATAATCGTCAGCAAAATTCCCTCCATTCAACATGTTATTTAGTCAGTGAAAATAACTGCATGACTTCCAGCCTTTCTCAGTAAACCAGACCATCTACCAATGGGACAACATTAATCTTTTCCAGTCCACAGAAGTGAGGGAATATTGACTTTGAGGCCTCCAATAGTAGTATTCTCTAGATGGGCATAATGGCTCATGCCTGTAATCCCACCACTTTGGGAGGCCGAGGTGGATGGATCACCTGAGGTCAGGAGTTTGAGATCAGCCTGGTCAACATGGTGAAATCCCATCTCCACTAAAAATACAAAAATCAGCTGGGTGTGGTGGCACACACCTGTAATCCCAGCTACTCGGGAGGCTGAGGCAGGAAAATTGCTTGAACCTGGGAGGTGGAGGTTGCAGTGAGCCAAGATTGTGCCACTGTACTCCAGCCTAGGCGACAGAGCAAGACTCCATCTCAAAAAACATACATACATACATATATACATACATACATACATACATAAAAATTAAAAAATAAAAAGTAGTATCCTCTTAGTACTGCTGTGGCCCATTTAAAATCAACGTCTGACTATGGGCCTAAGGCAAGGGGTTTTCTCTTTTCAGGCAAAGCAAACACTAATGCTATTTCTGTAGCCATAGAACAAGAGAACAGTATGCATAACATTTTATGCATAAAGTTCCTTGTTTGTGTTGAGAATAAAGCTCAGCATATACAATTATGCATAAAATAAACTTTCACAGCATGTCATCCAACTTATTTGTTATTCGATGTAAGCATGGAGAAACTTGCTTAAGTCTTTTTTTTTTTTTTTTTTTTGGAAACAAATACTTGACATCCCACCTCCTTTGCCCTCAACGCTCTTCAAGGATAATAGTTGTTAGGTGAGGAGGCCTTGGGAAATAGCTAGATTTTTCATGTTTTTTTTTTTTTAATGGAAACAAAGAACTGCACAGGGAAATGGTCCATGAAGGTCTTTTCCCTATAAGTGAAGATCCTTGGGCTCTGGAAGACAAATGACAGGTGGATTAAAGATCCGTCAATCTTTCTGTGCCTGGGGAACCCTCCAGCCCCATAAGATCTGATGATCTTTGTATGGCTGAGGGTGGGGCTGGATGTCCATTAAATTACCACATATTGAAATAGGCAGAGAAATGTGATGGGTTCTGACATTTACACAGCACTTCATACTTTTAGATCCATGAGAGACTAGCATTTTTCTATCAGGATTCATGGATGTGATTCCACTTACGATAAAAGCTGCCAGAGGTAGAAACCCCGCGGCTTTTCCTACCGACTTCCTTTTGTTGGGAGCTCTGTGGCCTTCCAGAGACCACTTAGAAGAAACAGCTCCATGCACAAGAGGGTGATCAGTTTTGCAAAAGATACAAATCTTAAACATTTCCAGAAACTACTAGTTATATTAGGGATTATTTAAAAATTTAAATGAAATAAAGGCCATTCCAAACCCTGGGCTGGTATCGAGTTATTTTGCAGCAGGGTGGTGTTCAAAAATCTTCCTTTGACTCCCTGAGACTTTTTCTTGCAGAATAAGATGGAAAGCCAATCAGTGTTTGCGATAATGTAATACAGAATAGTGCCAATCTGAAAATAACCTAAATGTCCATCATTAAGGAAATGGCTTAATAAAATATTAATAGCAACAAAAAGAATATTATGCCTCCATTGTAATGAATAATTATGAAGACTGCGGAGCACTGTTTTATAATAGGATAAAAGGCAGAAACACAAAAGGGTATATACATTGTAAGCACAATTATATAAAAATTACGTTTCTCATCCATTTTTGGATGAAACAAAAACAGTTGTTGCGGGGGCTAGGATTATGAATAATTTATAAATTATTATTAAATTTCTTTATTGTTACTTAATGTCAACCTCAACTAAAGTATCAGCCACCATTTGAAAAAAATTAAATGATGGTCAAAATACTATTATTCAGTAAAAGAGGAAAGAAAACTAGACTGTACTCAACTGTCTCTGGCAGGCGACTATCTGCCCAGAATGGTCCCCTCCCTCCTGCCTTTCTCTGGAGAATGCCCCTTCTCTTCTTAAAGTCCCTGTCCCACTTCTTCAGGGATGGGCATTTGGCCTAAACTCTGCAATCATGGTCCTCTCCTGCAATGTCTTAAACTGGAACTTCTTCCTTGGCTGAGTAGCTGGGAAGGTATGACCCAGGCAGCTGGCCGTGACAATGATCCAGCCACAGGGAGAAGACGAGGCGGCCCAGGCTATGAAGAGCTGGACTGGAAGCCTTTGACTCCCGTCATCCTGAGCACCCATGGATACTTATACCTCCACTGCCTGGTTACATTCCCTATTTAAGTTAGTTTGAAGTGGCTTCAGTAGACTGCAACCAGGAGTCCCAAAACTCTGTAGCCCCACATAATCAGTACCATGGAAAGGGCAGTAAATCCTACCTGGGGAGCTTTGGTGAGGAGAAGAGCAACTTCCGGGTTATTGTGGTAGCGGGCAGTCTCCAGCGGAGTCTGGCCTGCCTGAGGAGAGGCAGAGGAGGACAGGTGAGAAAGGGCCACTGGCCCTGCACACACATAGCCCAGCTGGCACAGCTCTGGCCAGAAGCAGGCAGTTCCACACCCACCTACACCCAGCACCTACCTGGCAAAACACAGCCACCTATGTGATATGGCCCTGAGCATCAGCCTTAGACCCTCCAATGAGAGCGCTGGGTCACACCAGAGGACACCCTCAGTAAAATACACGGCCAGAGGGCAAGGGCAGACCAAGGGAGCAAGAAGTGCTTTAGGAGGCCAAGGCCTGGGCACCATCCACCAAGGAGTGCTTCCCAGAAAAGAGGGGAGGGAAGGTAGCACTCAGATGGCATCCAGGGGGAATGTTTCAGTTGGGGAAACACCACAGAAGATCTGAGGTCCAGCCCAGTGATTTACCTCCCCTGGAAAACAGTGGGAAGATGCTGGAGGGGCAGATCAGGGCCTCGCCAGAGTTTCAGGAAGTGGAATATGAAAAGCAATTACAAGTTATAGCCATAATGTAAGTTATCAGGAGACGAAGCCAAAACCCAGGAGTTGATAGCAAATGGAAGATATTCAAGGCATCATGGAAGAGTTAACTGTGCCCCCAGTACTGGTTATAGAGCTATGAGAAGGCAGGAGGAAGAAGAGGGAAGCTAGATATAGGAGCCAAGGAGGCTTGAGAGCCTGTGCCAGTGTCAGCAGTCCCAGGCCACCCCCCTCAAAAACACCTCCACACAGCAGCTGTTGCACCCTCCAGGCCCCGCTGAGCCATTCAGAAAGGAAGAGACTGCAGGGTGGCCTCGAAGAAGAAAGTGCACCTGAGTTGGCGCTTGCTCTAGGATCTGTAGGACACACAGTGGCGTAGGAGGAAAACAGTGAGGTCAGGTAAAGTGAAAGAAAAAGGAGTTGGCTTAGAATTTTGAGGCTGATTAATCTGAGGGCCAGGTGGCCATTTTTCTGAGCACCACATACATTTACAGCCTGGAACTCACTTTGGATAGCATCCACTTGTCAGTTTACCAGGACATCCCTGAGTTCCTTTTCATGCCAGGTTGTGCTCACTGCAGCTAGGCGGCTAACAGCAGGCTTGTCAATTCCTGGGGCTGCTCAGAGCATGGGTTCCCTTCAAGTCCACCCCAATGGCCCCAGGGGCTGTGGTTCCAGCAGAGATCCCCCCTCTTCCAAATGCGCTGGGCCCAAGGGTCTGCAGGGGTTTAGTTCTAACAACACACCTCTCATTCTGGAAAGGGGTGGGAACCACTTCAGAAAGCAACGTTGCAACTCAACTTACATTGTTAACAATGGTCGTATCTGCTCCGGCTTCCAGTAAGATTTTGGCCACTTTCTTGTGATTTAGGGCAGCAGCAACGTGAAGTGCTGTGTCTCCAGCCTGGAATTGATTAGAAGGCCTGCTAAACCCCATCTGCTCATGGCCTACAGCCCTCAACTTTTCATTACCTGGCCTAGGTGTGGCTCTTCAAAGTCAAACCGAGATTTGCCTGAGACCAAAATAGGGCCCTTTGTTAAAGCATCATGAGTACTTAAGGAGATCTTGGAACTGAGTGACCTCGGCACTAGTATCATCTTTCTTTCTGGGTGGGGATATCTAAAATCACAGAGCAGGATTAAACGCAGGGGCAGAGTAATGCTGGCCTGGAGTTGCTGAGAATGGTAGGACCTGAAGCCTCACAAAGACATGAGGACAGGCGGGAGGCCTGGGGTGGACAGGCTAGTCATTCCACTTTTGACTCGTTTACTCAAGGAGGTCAGAGGTCAGAAAAACTGCTTGGTGTCCCACTGCTAGATTGAGCAGGAGAAGCTGTGAAGACGGCTACTTCTGCAAGCACTGGAGAGGTGACAGGCTGGCCTGCAGCTATGGTGGGTAGATCTGAAGGGGCCACTGGGACTCAATCCATCTGCAGGCTCAGGATATGCTTTGTGCGGGTGGAAACACCAAGAACCAGTGTTCGCTTAAGACCAACTGTTTTCTACATCTTACAGATAGCCTATAAATAAGTGCTCACATTATCTTTATACAAAAAAATATGCTTTCACAAAATCAACTCTGAGAAAAGGATAAAGACAACTGCAGCTCAGTGGGCCCACTCCAAATGCAAATGCTGTCATTTCCCAAACATGATGATATAAATAAACCAGACAAATATAGGAGAAGTGAAACAATTCATTCTCTCTCCTATCAGGTGATCAGGCAAAGTGCCTGATACTTTTTTCCTGGGTAGCATGAAAATTCAGTCATCTTTGTGAGGGGTGGAAAAATTGTATTTTTTTTTTTTTCTCTTTGGGACAGAGTCTCACTCTGTCACCCAGGCTGGAGTGCAGTGGCATGATCTTGGCTCACCACAACCTCCGCCTCCCAGGTTCAGGCGATTCTCCTGCCTCAGCCTCCCAAGTAGCTAGGACTACAGATGTGCGCCACCACACCCGGCTAGTTTTTGTAATTTTTTTTAGTAGAAATGGGGTTTCACCATATTGGACAGGCTGGTCTTGAACTCCTGGCCTTATGATGTGCCCGCCTCAGTCTCCCAAAGTGCTGGGATTCCAAGTGTGAGCCACCGCACCCGGCCATGTTTCATTTCTGAGTCACTTAGCTGGGTGTGTTGAAGGAAGCTCTGCAGCAGTGCTTTTTCCTTGGCTGAATACTAGAATAACCTTTGGAGCTTTAAAAAATGCTGATGCCTGGGTCCCACTCCCAGATATTCTAAATTCATTGGTCTGCCATGTGGGCTGGGCAGGGGGACTTTTTAAAGCTCTCAGGTGCCGTGACATGCTACCAAGGCTGAAAGGCACTGGTGGAGGGGTCACCTGATGACCTACTTAGGAATGACAGACTTAGCTACTTGATTAGGTCAGTGGTTCTCAATCCTGGCTGTACACTCAGATAAAGAGCTTTTTAAAAACACCATTGTCTGGACCTCACCCCCAGAAGTTCTGGCTCTTTCAAACTGGGGTAGAATCCAGGAACAGTATTTTTAATTCCCCTGTTGATTCTCATATGCATCCAGGTCAGAAATCACCATTATATGGTCTGTTAATCTGCACCACAATCTAATGTTTTTTTAGTTCAGATTTATGCACTTCAACAAAGAAAAGCCAAACAATGTACCATATAGGTATCAATAAATACCAAGACAATCTATTTTTTAAATCCAATGACTGCTAGAAATTGTGCACATTTCCAAGGAAGACTGTAATACTCAGAGCTTTATTTCAAAACCCCATTACATGGCACTATCTATAGACTATGTACCCAATATACAGAAATGAAAGACTCTATCAGCTCAATTGTAAGTGAGTAGCAGTACAAGGAACAGAAGAAAGGGAGTCATAAGACTTTTAATTACTTGCTTGGTGTTTTTCTTTTTTAAGAAAGAAAACAGAACTCAGGGAGTCATAAGACTTTATATGTTTGCTTGGTGTTTTTCTTTCTGCTTTAGAGAGACGGGGTGTCATTCTGTCACCCCGACTGGTGTGCAGTGGCAAGATCACAGCTCACCATAGCTTTGAACTCCTGGGCTCAAAACAATCCTCCCACTTCAGCCTCCTGAGTAGCTGGGACTACAGGTATATGCCACACTGCCTGGATAATTTTTATTTTTTTAAATTAATGTATTTATTATTTTTTTTGAGACAGAGTCTCGCCCTATCACCCAGGCTGTAGTGCAGTGGTGTGATCTCGGTTCACTGCAACCTCTGCCTCCTGGGTTCAGGTGATTCTCCTGCCTCAGCCTCCTTAGTAGCTGGGATTACAGGTGCATGCCACCATGCCCAGCTAATATTTGTATTTTTTGTAGAGACATGGTTTCACCATGTTGGCCAGGCTGGTCTCAAACTCCTGAGCTCAAAGTGATCCACCCACCTCAGCCTCCCAAAGCACTGGGATTACAGGCATGAGCCACCACGCCTGGCCACATTAAAAAAAAATTTTTTTTTTGTAGACACAAGGTCTCCTTATGTTGCCCAGGCTGGTCTTGAACTCCTGGCCTCAAGTGATCCTCCTGCCTCAGCTTCCCAAAATGCCGGAATGTGAGCCACCGTGCCTGGGCTCCCTTGCTTCTTTACTAAATCACATTCTTCCTTGTGGGTTTTCTTTTTAAAATCATATTTAAAAAACAAAGCCTGCCCCAGGATCTCCAGAAAAGGTTCAATATGCAAATGTGGTGATATGTACAGGAATTATAAGGGCACACTTCCTCTAGGAGGCCAGATAAGCCAGGGCCACTAGAACTCAGGGGGACACCCATGCAAAGCCCAGAGCTGGTGGAGTCCCAGATAGGTGAAATGGCAGCACTTCCCAGCAGCCTCTTCTCCCGTTTGCACTAACACACCTGTCCGGTAGCCTTGTGGGAAGGATGCTGGCAGCCATGAAGAGGAAACATGCACTGACCTGGTTCTTTTCATGGACAGAACAGAAAGCACTGAGGAGGAGCCTAATGATGGACAAGTGATTATAGCGCGCAGCAACGTGCAAACAGGTGTCTCCTGCCTGCGAACAGAAATCAAACTCTAAGCACAATCTGAGCAGTTACAAAAAAAAATAGAGAAAAGTAGAAAGAAAATATTATTTAAAAGGTGGCAGACTATCATATACTCTTTAGGAAACCATAGCAGCTCTTTTAACATAGATGCCAAGGCTTGCCGTCCTTTGCTGCTGTGACTGCTGTGGGCAGCCTTGCTCCTTTTCTGCCTGTGCAGAACAACCAATGGTCACAGAATCACTGCTTTCATGTTTATGAAACTAGACATCTGCTCCCCACGAGACCTTCGCAAGAGCTGAGGCAGGCTCTGCTTACCCAGTGCTTGAAGAGGATCCAGTGACCCTGGGCTCCCTACGACCCAAAAGGTCTATAATACACTGACTTAAGACTAACCGCATTGCTTTGGAAATGAGCCCTTCCCAGCACAGATCTCTTATGGATGAAAGGACAGGGCAGCAGGAGGGTTGTCAAATCTTAAGATCATATATGCCCCCGGAAATTCAAGGAGTATCCAACTTTGGACCTTAACATCCTATATGAAGCTATGTAGTGGGGGAGCTGATAAGGAAGCAATCACTGGGAGCAAAAAAGGGCATGAAGGAAAACTCAGGGCAGGATCCTCAGTAAGCACAGCAGGTAGAATCCTGCTCCCAGAAAGACAATAAAGAACTGGAGACAAAAAGCTGCCTGCAGTGTTCTCTTCCCGTTTCCATGCTAGCTCTGTCTGGAGAATGTTGGCCACATGGCAGACTTTCCTCCCCTGCATTAAGATGGAACCAAGCTCAAAGCTGAGGTTCAGAGCTTAGATGAGTTAGATGAGGTCTACCCCAAACAGGGAGACCTCAGCTGAGGCCACTTTAGAAAAAAACTCAGATTTTTTTTTTTTTTTGCCAATGTGGCTAAGGCAAGGGATTTATAAAGGAAATACAGCTTCTTTATGGAGGAAGAAGTGATACCCACGTGACGTTTCTGGTTAGCTCATCCCAAGGGTGCCTCAGTAATCAATAGGACCTGCTCACTGTAGATGCTGGGCATGGGGTATCAGAGGACCTTTCCCTGTAAATGGCACCAACTCACATATGCTGATAATAGTACAACACTCTATGTGGGTAGAGACTTTCTTAAAACATTAACTGGTTTCCTAGTCTTTCATTGGCCAGACATGTGCTGTAAGAAATGATAAACTAAAGTTGAAGCACAAAGGGAAAAGGATGGGAGAAAAGCAGTATTTCCAAATCTATTGATTCCTCTTCTCGTGTGCCTAAATGACCCCTTAGAAAATTGGCAAAAAAAAAAAGAGAACACTTTAGAGATAGTCCCTAAACACTTTTTACATTTTAATTTCGAGACATTAAGGTTCAAGTATGCTCATGAAGTTATTTTCTGAAGTGACACAAGAAAGAGAGAGTGTGAGAAGCCGGTTTTGTTCACCCACGTTATTTTTGAGGTCAGCGCGGGACCCGGCCAACAGGAGGACGCGTGTGCTCTGGGAGTGGCTGTTCTGGCAGGCCAGGTGCAGAGCCGTGTTCCCCGCCTTGGAGAGAGGCAGAGAGAGGGAGGACACATTAGCAACATGCTTCCGCACAGACCTGCATGCCTTGCAGAGGGGCAGTACTTACTCCTGGGAAAAGGCAACGCTTACATTCTCTGCCTCCTCAAAGGAAGGGTTGGTTTTGGTGGGGATGCTTTAGAGGCAAGAACATTTAATTTGGAGTCCAAACAGGCAGAAGAGTCCTATTTGTCATAAAGCCTTGGTTCCAAGTCCTGGCTCTACCAGTAACTAGTTAAAAGCCAGTCTCTTCAAATGCTTAAATTACTTACCTGGGAAATGGAGCATGACCCCCACATCCTGAGGCTGTGGGGATCGATTCAGTGTCCAGGAAGGTATTTTCTTAACCATACAATGCTGGACACATGCACAGCACTCAATTCCTATAGATGATGTCCTACCTCACATAAGCAATAGCTGTGGTTACAATCCCTGCCAATGGTGGGCTTAAAAAAGTAAAACTAGCCACTTCCTGGATGTGCACATGAGATTTAACTTGTAAGCCTTTTTCAAGTCACCCATTCTTGTATTTTTCTCGAAACATCAAAATTTTAACTCTGGACACCAGACCCCGCCTTTTAGGCAGTACAGTCACATGTGTCACTTAGGACACAGATTGAGACACTCTTGCTTTTTGGGTCCCTCTTGTTTTTGAGATCCTCAACACACCATGTCACAATGGATCAGAATAATGTCCATAGCAATACTGCAAGAAAAAATTGTAGGACATGAACAGAACTTTTGAGTCTATGGGAGTAGGGCACGTGAGGCTGCTGATAATCCCTAGAAAAGTAACAAGAAAACAAGGCTGTGTGATAGGTGACGCTTGGTCATCCAAGAGCCTGCCAGCACCCAGGAGGTTAACACAGAAGCTCTGCGCTGGTTCTGCTGAGCCTAAGTGCTGGGTCAGGCTTGCAGGTGCGTGGGCTCAGAGCTATTACACTGCCTGGCTGATTGCTTCTCCCTCACTTAGTTCACTCCCCTCTGGATCTCACAGTACTGGCTGCTGACACTCCAGTATGTTAGATTCCTGATCTTTTAAAAATAGAAATGAGTTAAAAAAAGAAATTGTTAGATACTTGCTTGATGTCTTTGCT